AACTTCGTCGGGTGCTGGTTCGGCGCAATGCCGGTGTGCCACGGCGCCGGCGGGCTGGCCGGGCAGTACCGGTTCGGCGGCAGAAGTGGGGCTTCGGTGGTGTTTTTAGGGATTGGGAAACTGGTTTTGGGATTGGCGTTTGGGAATTCTTTTGCGCAGGTTCTGAATCAGTTCCCAATTGGGGTTCTTGGGGCTCTTCTGCTGTTTGCTGGGGTTGAATTGGCCATGGCTTCCAGAGATATGAACAGTAAAGAAGAATCGTTTGTGATGTTGGTTTGTGCTGCCGTTTCACTTACAGGGTCCAGTGCTGCATTGGGTTTTGGAGTTGGGATTCTGCTTTATCTGCTTCTCAAACTCAGAGAATTTGACTGTTCTTCCTCTGCTTTTGGGTTTCAGAAGATGAAGCCCAAATCTGATGCTGAAGAACAAACTAACTTGTTAGCTTGAACAAGGCACAAATTTGTGAGCTTGGAGAAGAAAGTTATGTGTGATTGTCTTTTTGTCAATCAAAATTCCATGGAGATGTTTCAAAATGGAATGTATATGTGTTCCTGAGGTTTATATAATTTTTGAGAACTTTCTGTGCATCCTAGCGTATGTAATTTCCAACTGTAATAGACAAGAGGGTTATAAGTTCGAATCGCTCACCACACCCTTATTAGAAAATTCTTTGCTTTTGTAATATTATATATTTGATGTCAATATAAATTTAGTTACAACTTATTAAGATATCTATTTCGAATTTAAAACTAAAAAGTGGTGTGTTTGAACTCTACCTCACATATTATAATACTAAACAATAGAAATTATATATTTCATTACTAAGTAAATAGCCTATCTTTATGATTCTTAGACTTGACTAAGACGAATTCCACGTGTCACGAGCCAATGGCAAACAATGCCTTCTTATATGATATAAAGTTTAATTAAAATTAAGATTAAATATCTCACTCACTTGGTTTAGAATCAAGTTAAATGCTTTAAGTTTTTCTTTTAATCATATTTGTATGGAACATTTTGGCACAACCACTCGAGAGAATTTATATTTGACGAACTTCTCATATTCCAAATGCTAATTATTATTGTTATTTTAAATCTTAATTACAAATACAATGTTAAGAATTTGAATTTTATATCTTAAAGACACACCTAACACTTGCAACTATGGGGAAAAATTTAAGAAAAAGAGTACACTTAGCATTAAGTTTTGCAAATATAGTATTTTTTTTTATTAAACAGAGGTCTAAATAATAGAATGTATAATATATTCTGAAGCTCAAAACTGGATAAATCTACAATATGTATGTGCTGATTTATCCGGTTGATTTACGTTTGATCTACTATATCGATATAATTATGATATCTGTGTGTTGATATACCATATAAGTCTATGATTATCTGATTCTGATATATATATATTTGATGTACCTACAATATGTATGTCTTGATTTACCAGTAAAAAATTTGCTATATTTGTAAAATTTAAATGTTAATACTAAATGTGTTGTTTTCTTTATTTTTTTTTTGTCATAATTGCAAGTGCAACCATATTAGGCATTAGGGCACAAATAAACTCAAAGCTAATCACAAAGTATGTGTGTCTCCCGTTATATTAAATTTGAGAATTCCTTAACTTGACTAACCTATGAAAGAAGGGTATAGATGCATCACCTTTTTGTCCGATGTGTTTGAGGAAGGAGGAGACTGTGGATCATGCGCTTGTGAGTTGCAGAAGATCTCGACAGATCTAGAACTGTCTGCTTCCAGACAGTGTGAACGAGAGATGTTTCAATAACTGCTTTATCTATCGTTGGATAGATTGGATGCGCACCTTATCCAAAACTGAAATTATCCTAAAAAGCATCACTTGTTGGGCCATTTGAAGTGATAGGAACTTTATGTTAAATAAACATCGTGCCCCATATGTACCTTCAAAGGTCTCATGGATTCTGGGCTAGGCAGAAGAATTCGAGAAATCAGAGCGGTACTTTACTTCGAAGGAATGCATGACTTCCTCCTCTGCCAGGTGTGGTGAAGATCAACACTGATGGTGCATGCGAAAATTGCAAATCTCGCATAGGAGTTTTGCTACAAGACGACAGATTTGGCATCGTAGTTGCAATGGTGGATGTGCATCAAGGGATAGGCCCTTATCTGGCTGAAATTTATGCGATTCGAGAAGGACTGAGACTCGCACTGCGATTAGGGCTGAAATGGGTTGAGTCTGATTCGTTGAATGCCATCAACATGATCCACCAAGATACAAAATGGCAGGATGAGGCCGCCAATTGGATTGCTGATATTCGAACCCTCTTGAAGTCTTTCTCTCGGTTTCTTTCCATCATGAGTACATGGAATCGAATTCAACAGCTCATTCTCTAGCTTAGGAAAGTATTAGGTTGGGGCATGTGTGTTTGTGGTTATCAGATTTTCCCCTTTTTATTCGTGAGGTTGTTGAAGCTGACCTTCAAAATTATGTAGCCTTAATGTCATCTTAAATTCCTTTGCCATATATATATATATATATATATCTTCTCCCTAACTAATTTGAACGAGCTACATTAACCTACAACATAACATTTTCAACTTCTCAGATATTATGAGTTATGAGAATCTTCAACTTCTATCTATTAAACTATGCTAAATTACTATAGTGAGTATAACTCAGTGATAATTGATATATATTTCCAACTAAGAGACTGTAAATTCTATCTCACTTGTTATACTTAAAAAAAACTATGTTATATTAAACTGGCCATTTAAGAAAATAAGTAAAAAGTTAACTTTTTTTTTAAATCAAAATCTTATTATTAGCACATATAGTTTTTCTAAATGTGGATGGTTTCGTTGTCCAAGATTCCGTGGAATCTTAAAACAAATTATTTAAAAATACGTTGAACTCATCTTATTTGTCAAAATTAATTTAATTATCCATATAAAAAGAAATAACAACCACGTCGGGCGGCGCGTCAACCGGCGATCAAACAGCTCGACTGTCACACTCATACATTACTAGAAATACCAATATTACCCCTAAGTACATCTTTTATATACCCGAAATATCCCAACGACCGCTTACCTTAGGACGGAAGTCTCCTCCTACGTGGCCTCATTTTGTTGCTGCATTTATTATCAACCCACGCGCTCTATAACGTTTGTATTGTACGTACCCTCGTTTTATTTTCTTCGAAGAAATTCGTGCCCTCTTTTAGTCCAATTATTTTTTAAAAACTTTTTATTTTTAATTTTTAAAACTTGACTTAGATTTTGTAGAGTAGATAAGTATGAGTAATGTTTAAAAGTTAAAATTTAAAAAATAAAAAATAAAATTAAAAATGTTTATCTAAAGGTCTAAATTTTCAAAAGTTAGATACCTGAAATAAAAAAAAGTACTTTTAAGTGTTTGAAGCATAAACATAAAGAGTATCTAATAAATATTTTAATTTTTAATTTTGTGTATAATATAGGTCTTACCTTTCAATTTCGTGGCTTAATAGTCCCATAATATAATATGTCGAAAAAAAGTCATGATATAATATACAATTTTTAAAGTCTTATTCAATAAGTTAATTAGAAAGCTTTTAAAGTTCGAACACTTGTGACACTAATATTTGAAAGTTCATATACTTATTAGACACTATTTAAAATTTAAGAATTTAATTACTCAACTCCGAACATTTAAAGCTAAACTTGTAATTTAACTTTATTCAACATCACCATGTAGATATCTCCTAATAATAGTTCGATGTTAGTTTATTAATTTCTCTTAACCATCATTGAATATGAGTTAGAAGTACAAAATTTAAATTTACCGTGTATAAAAGATTCTAAGTGTCGCCATCGACGAAAATGTTGATAATCTTAATTTTATGGAAATGTCGATAGGAATATCAATAAAATATTAAAGATGATGGATATTTCTGAAAAAATTATAAAAATAAAAAACATTTAAAACAACGCTCATTTATAACAAGTTAAAGTTTATTAATATTAATGTTACATTTCTGTTAAGAATATTTAGTTAATTTTTTTTTTGTGATACTATAAAAATATCAAGATCGAAGTTATAGACATTTGAATATGTAGATAGAAATGTGAATATAATGACTATCTACTTCAGAAATTAATTTCTATATGTTTTTTGGTATCAAAGGTTGTTTGGTCAGGTGGCTGTCTCGTGAAATTAGTTGGAGTTTACCTAAGGGTAGCGGAATACTCACCGATTAAAGAAAGAAATGTGGATATAAATTTAATATCCTCTATTAACATAAGCCAATAATTTGAAAGGTAGTGTCCTGCACGCGCTATGCAGAGCGGTGGAAAAAAGGAAAAGACAATAGCTCACAACCACCCGTCAGAACAACTAGAAAATTTAGAGTAGACTTCGTCTCCAAGATCCAAACTTTAGTCAAGCCCATCTCTCTCTTTTGCAGACTTTGATTGTTTACTCCATCATTCTTCATTTTTTCCCTTTTTTTTTTTATTGCAGATTAAGTTTTCCTTTGAGAACACAGACAGGGATCACCACAGACACTAAGGTTAGTAATCCTTAATCTTAATCTCCTCGAGTTTTCCATGGTCGTCTTTCACTGAGAACTGCAACATTTTCCAACTTGTAGCTGAGAATCTTTGATGGGGCATCTGGGTTTCTTCCTGATGAACATTAGTATCTAAAGACTGTAGGAATTGGAGCCATGAGAAATCTTGTCTCTCTGTTTTTCTTTATTTTGGGGCTGCAACTATATGGAGATTTGAGCTTCTCATTTGCTCAATCAGAATCCCTAGGGTTTGGGGTCATTGAAGCTGAATCTAGAGATGAGTCCACCAACGAAACTCCGAGTTACAATTATGAAAGATTTGATGAGGTGGAGAAGAAGTGCAAATTTGTTCTGTCTTCTGCTTCTGAGTTGAGCTCTGATACTTCTAGGTTTCTTAGAATGAAGGAACAGCTCCAATTTGTGAATGGAGATTGGAGGCAAGATGAGGGAAAGTATCCACTAATGCCTTTTAATAATGGAAGTTATGTGTTTTCAAAAAGGAGGTACTATATGGATCATGTAAATGGCTCTGCAAGTGTTGAGACCAGCCCTTTGAAATTGATTTCCTTTTGGGTTATGGACATCGATCCTGCCCATCAAACTAAGAAGTCTGTTAGTGTTAGTGGGTTATTGTCAATGGGCATAACTTTGGATGGTACTTTTGAGCAATGGTCCTCTGAACATCCTCGCTTTCAGTTTTGGCCTGGCCGTTCCGAGCTCTCGTTGCCTTTTCAAGGAATCTATACCGAATCCAAGAAGAATGGTGGGGAAAGAGTGCTGTGTTTGTTGGGTTCTGGGTTGTTACCTTCCCGGGATCAGGAGTCTGATGACCCGTGGAGTTGGGCCAAGGATTCGAATGTGAATCGTCACCAAATGCCACTTCTCCAAGACGATCAAATTCTACTTGTTCTGCGGTTTCCAATGAAATTTACGTTGACAAGTCGGGTAATTCAAGGTGAATTGAGAAGTTTGAACCCCAAGTCGAACCTGAAGTACTTCGACAACATTCACATTTTGTCTCAACTGGGAGGTGTGCACTACGACTTTGTATCCGAGAAATCTGTAAAAAAAGCTTGTGCTCCATACCCTTACAATGATAGCTTGATGAAGAAAAATATTAGTATGTATAGAGGTTCTTCTTTTTGCAGGGTCTTGCAAGAAATGACCAGAGAACAAGCTTTCACAGTCCTCCCAAACTGGAGATGCAACTCTACAGATGTTTTTTGTCGGAAATTGGGTCCATTTGTATCAGATAAAGAGATCAATAGAACAGATGGAAGTTTTAAGAATGTCAAGATTTATATGCAGGATGTGACATGTAAGATACAGGGCTCTAACAAAAACGACATTTCTGCTAGTGTTTCAGCTGTTTTCAGGGCCGTTTCGCCATCGGAGAATCTCTATTCCGCATGGAGAAGATCTGCGCTTAATAACATGACAATGGTGTCTGAGGGAATGTGGAAGTCTTCCAGTGGGCAACTTTGTATGGTTGGTTGTCTTGGACTTGTTAATGGTGAGAAGATCTCCTGTGACTCTAGGATTTGCCTGTATATACCTATCTCGTTTACCCTAAAACAACGGAGTATTCTTGTCGGTTCTATTTCGAGCATTAATGATAAGCCAACATACTTCCCTTTGTCATTTGAAAAGTTATTTCAGCCTATGGAGTTGTGGAGTCATTTCAGTGACTCCCATCCATTTTACAGCTATACAAAAATTGCATTAGCTGGTGCTGTGCTTGAGAGAAACGAGGCTTTCAGTTTTGGATCCGTCATAAAGAAGTCATTGCTGCGTTATCCGAAACTGGAAGACACAGAATCATATGAATTCAGCGAGTCTCTTCTCTCAGAGGATCTCACCCTTCATGTCCCTGCACTTCTCAATCCAGCAGCTGGTTCTCGAACTTCCAGAATTGATGTTCAATTGGATATCATCTCTGTTGGTTCCTTTTTTGGTCGATATTGGTCGGGGCTAAACGGATCTATCTCGGATGTGGAAACTCCTTATCATTCTAGGCCTGAATACACTGAAAAGCAGCTTCTCTTGAATGTATCTGCACAACTCTCGCTACTCGATCAGATGTATAGCAATTTTTCTGCGCTTTTCTTGGAGGGGATTTATGATCCACATGTTGGACACATGTATCTAGTTGGTTGCAGAGACGTTCGGGCGTCATGGAAAGTTTTGTTCGATAGCATGGATCTCGAAGATGGCTTGGATTGTCAAATTGAGGTGGTTGTCTCCTATCCTCCCACTACAGCTCAGTGGTTAGTCAATCCAACTGCAAAGATTTCGATTTCCAGCCGACGAACGGAGGATGACCCTTTCTACTTCAGCCCCATAAAACTTGAAACAATGCCGACCATGTACAGGAGGCAGCGACAGGATATTCTTTCTCGTAAGAGCGTAGAGGGTATGCTCCGAATATTGACACTCTCGCTGGCAATTGCTTGCATCTCGAGCCAAATACTTTATATAAACCGTAATCTGGAGTCTGTTCCATACACATCTCTCATTATGCTGGGAGTTCAATCCCTTGGTTATACTCTCCCACTTGTCACAGGTGCAGAAGCTGTCTTCAAGCGGCGAGGAGGTCCCGAATCTTACAATGACAACTCGTATGATCTTGAAGATAACCTTTGGTTTCTTGTGATCGATTACATAGTGAAGCTTCTAATAGTGATCTCACTGCTATTGACTTTAAGGCTTTTCCAGAAGGTTTGGAAATCTCGGATCAGGTTACTTCGACAAGCTCCTCTCGAACCGCACCGCGTTCCCAGTGATAAATGGGTGCTTATTGCTACCTTGTTTATACATCTCATCGGTTACGTGGCCGTTCTCATTGTTCGTGCTTCAAGGACAGCCGAAATCCGGGTAGTGAGTGACATGGTACCTAGCGTAAGTCCAAGTTCCCACATGATGCAGGGATGGAAAAGAGACCTACAAGAGTATGTGGGACTTGTTCAAGATTTCTTCTTACTTCCTCAAATCATTGGGAACTTGTTATGGCAAATTGATTGCAGACCTCTCAGGAAGTTCTATTTCATTGGAATCACACTGGTCAGACTTCTCCCACACTTCTATGATTTCATAAGAGCTCCCACTGTAAATCCTTACTTTGTTCAAGAGTATGACTTTGTGAACCCAAGCATGGACTTCTACTCTAGATTTGGGGATGTTTTCATCCCTTTGATTGCATTTATCCTCGCGGTTGTCGTCTACATTCAGCAGCGATGGAACTACGAGAAGCTCAGCCAGGCTCTCGTCGTCGGACGGGTTAGGCTTCTTCCAAGTGCTTCCAGAATTTATCAGAGGTTGCCTTCCAAGTCATATGAAGCAGAAGCTGAACTTGCTTCTGCTGAAAATGGCAACACCAAACGTGAAGATGTAGATTGACGCTGAACCGATTTACGATCCTTGTCGACATCAAAGTTGTTTTTAACAGGCAATGAAATCAGAGTTCGTTGCTGTAATTTTTCCCCTTTTTTTAGAGTAAAAATGGTGTTGTTTACTACACAATTTCCACCTGTTTACTGTACGTGGATGTTTTTGTACCAAATAAAACACTCAGAAGCCTCATTTGAGGATCTCTGAAGTAAGGTATTAAATAGATCTCATGAGGATTAGTCTTTTGTTTTTGCAAGATGTTACTGACTCAAATGATCACAGTTGCAGACTAAAAATATATAGTTAAATTACAAATTAGGTTTCTATTAGTTTCAATTTCGTCTCTTTGATTTGATTGAATCTCACACATCATCCTTAAACCATTTTGTACACACCCGAAATTCTGCTCACTTTTTCTTCTTTTTCAGTTAAACTTAAACCATTGTCTAACACAGCCGGCCAGCCATCTAGAAAGCCTAATCTTATCATGTATTGGGTTTGTAACAAAGTCTCACATGGTCATAGTATATAAGAGAGGACAATTATTTTCATTGGTATGAGACATTTTGGATGAAACAAAATTCATAGTCGTGAGGGTTATGCCAAAAGCGAACAATAACATACCATTGTGGAGATGGTGTACGAAGGGTACTGTTGCCCTTAACAAGGTGGTATAAGAGCTTTTAATAGGATAACGACAAATATGATTTGTGAGATAAATTGAACATTTTAAAATCACATAGTCCAAATTGAAACTAAAACTAAATTATAGGAATCAAATTGAAAGCTTAGGGTTAAATCTTGCTAAATTTGTAATTTAACCAAACACAGACAAAAAATCTTAATTAAAGCATTGGTGTAATGGCTTATGCTTTGGCCAGTAGCATTCAGAATATTTGCATTTTTGGCTGTTTCTGGCTTAAAACTTAAAATAGTGTCATATTACTCTGGAAATAGCAATTTTAAGTCAAGAGGGTATGCATTTTTTATTGTCAAATTGCTGCTTCACTGCTTCACTAATGGCTTGAAAGCAAGTGGTGGAACATGTGTAGGGTCTGCTCTAACTTCTATATGGGTCATGTCTTTTATTTCAAAACGAGGTATCAAATTCAACATGCACACTTGCCCAATAAGCACAGGAAAACTGGGTCATGCCCTATAATTGTAGGGCATCTCTCCATAAAGGACTGCTATATTTCAACAGCAAAACGGATAATACGCTTCAATTCAATGCATTCGTTAGCGTATTGATCCACCTACTATCAAAGACGGCGGTCTTGAAAAAATTCCTAAAAATTTCTATCCTCGATAGTTGAACCAACTCTCACTTCAACTGAATAAGATGTGTATAAGAGACAGAGCAAAGACGGCAGTCTTGAAAAAATTCCTAAAAATTTTTATCTTTGACAGTTGAACCAACTCTCGCTTCTTACTTTATTTGTATGATTTTACCATTGGGTAAATTTTTGATCGGACATACTTGAAAACTTGTCAAATCCATTTTTGGATCACTTTTTCTGGTATGGGCCAGACTTAGCCTCTTATTTTGAACTTGGTTGGTTTTCAAGTGAAAAGTTAACCATTTCTTCTAGAACAAAATATATAGTTAAAAAGGAAAGGACTTACTGACCTTGAACTAGCTTTGTTTGGTTTTCATTTATTAGTAAATTGATTGTTGATATGTGAATAGTGAAAATTAATGTCCATAAAGCTTCAACACTTCTTAAATGCCTATAAAACTTTTTTGGACCAATCTTTCCTACTCTTAGTAGAGTTTAGTACAGGTGAGAGTTATATAACGTTTGGTGGGAAAATCAAAGTCATCGAAAATGTTAAACGTTTTCAATTAAATCCCTAATCAATATAATGTGATCGAAATTTTGAATAAAGAAAATGTTAAGAACAATGGTATCCCAAGTATCTCAAAATGGTATAATATTGTTGGCATAACCCTCACGGCTTTGTTTTTGCTTTAACCCAAAAGGCCACATACAAATGAAAATTGTCCCCATCTATATACCATGGATCCTAACCAATGTGGGAATTTGTTTGCATTCCCCTTACAAACCTACACTTTTTAGGATTAAGTAGATGTTTAACATTCCAAGAATGTCAACTCAAAAAAATATTTCTAAGAAAAAAAATTCACTTTACCCTGTACTTTATCTCAATGAGTCCTATTTTTTATATTGGTTAGTGTTAGAGCTACAGCTTATACGCACGTCAACTAACTTCATCGGAACAACTGCATGATCCTAAAATATACATTTGTAAGAAAACACTGGAATTTTATCTCAAGTAGATGACTATAATGAGATTTAAACCCATGCTTCTGGAATCACTTAATCCCTTTCTCCTTACCCAACGAGTTAATTTAGGCTCAAAAATTGAATTAAAAAATTGCTCATGAATAAATCAACGAGTCACACAAAATTCAACTAATAAATTATAGAAACCAAATATCCTCCATCTTCAATTTCCACACAATTAAATAAATGATTGTAGTACTTAAAGGGCAGAGGAAAATTTTTACGTAACGAAGTTATATATTATTATATTTCATCGACCTACATCTTACTTAAAATTTCGTAATAAACAATGAATAGAAGTAGTATGCAAAAATTTCAGTACCACCCTAGGTCTAAAAAATTATCTCTCCTTCAATTAGAATGAAATTGTACAAAGAGAAAACAGCTCAGGCACTGCTTTAATCCCCTACCATCATTACCCTTCGGTTGGGCAAAGTCCCACTAGAATTAATGATACGTAGAAACTTGAACCCAGGGTTTGGCAGGTTGGATTTATGAATGGTGGAGAGATTGACTCCTACAAATAATATATTGAGTATAAAAAATTAGTTTTTGTGTTTTACTACACTGTCACTAATGATTATATAACCTGTCATGTGATGCTAACCTGAGTATAATTCAATTGATATTAAGGTATATATTTTTGACCAAAATGTCGATGTTCGACTCCCTATCTATCTCACAGTATTGTTGTACTAAAAAATGAAAAAATCACCATGTGGCAGCACATTAAATAAATTATGCATATATGTGGTAGTTTAAAGTCAAAATAAGTATATATATGGAAAGTTGTATGGTGAGAGAGATACCAAGAAAAGTTTGCAATATTTATGGACATTGATGCCATTGGAAACTTTTTCAGATAGTACAAATTAAAGAGCATGAGGAAGATGGATAGCTTGTGCTGAGTCTGCCACAACTTTATTGAAGATGAATTAGTTAAGAACCAAAAATAAGGTATAAAGATTGAAGAAGTCATGGATTCATCAAAGATTGATTCTAGATGTCAACAAATATCCATTTGGGTCAGACAGAAAAGTTCCAAAAACTTTAACTTTTGCATTTTTATTGGTTTGTGAACAAAATTTATCATCTACATAGAGAATGTACAGTTCAAATTTAGAGTTTTCAGTTTCCAATGCAACTCTTTTTTTGCAGGGAAAAGAGAAAAGGGTGATCAGTGTATAGAAAGCTCATTTCATGTGACAACATTTCTCTGAGTTTGAGGTTTTTTGGGGTGAGTTTTTCTGGTTTTCATTGCTGTATGCTAAAAAGGAAGGATTTTTCTGAAACCCATCATGGTTTAAGACTTTTTTTTTTCCTTCACAGTTTGGAAGGAGACTACAATGGAGGTATTCTCAAGATCAATGAATGGGGAAAATGATGAAAATGCTCTTAAATGGGCAGCATTGGAGAGGCTTCCCACTAATAGACGCTTAAGAAAAGGTTTATTAACTTCATCTCGTGGTGAAGCCAATGAAGTTGAAGTTGACAAACTAGGTGTTCAAGAAAGGAAGAGTTTGATGGAGAAGTTGGTGGCTGATACTGAAGTAGACAATGAAAAATTCCTGTTGAAGCTGAAGAAACGCCTTGATAGGTAAAAACTTCTCACTTTTAATATTCTTCTTTCTAGATTACGCTCAAACTTTTGGATTTAGTAATGACATAACATGATATCGAAACAAGAGATCGCGTATTTGAACTCCTGTTATTTCTCTACAATTAATATTGGTAATCACTTGTTGGAGTTGTGTTAATTTTCAAGTCTTGTGTTCCCCACAGCTACTTTTTTGGGTTGAGAAGAGAACGAACTTACTTTTAGTAAACACATGGTGAAATGAGTTGAATAAGAACTTTCCTTCTCAAACTTTGAAATGGTAAAGAAAACCATATGTACTTGTTTCTTGTTCCCTTTGAAGAACAAGTTTTTGTCGAAGTTCATCTTCAAGATGCTGAAAAATCCCCATGTTTCCGTTTCACAGTTGAGTAATTTTCTGTGTTTCTTCTTTGTTTTTGGTTGTCATGATGGCTAAAACCCAGAGTTGGAATCGATATTCCCACAATTGAAGTAAGATTTGAGGATCTTAGAGTTGAAGCTGAAGCATATATGGGAAGTAGAGCTTTGCCTACTATCTTCAACTTCTTTGTCAACTTAGCTGAGGTGAGAACAACCAGCTAATTTTAAGTACAGAAAATTCAAAATTTTGTCCAAAAGTTTTTTCATAACGCAACTTGAAATTTTGGCTTTAAAGGGTTTCTTGGCCAATCTTCACATACTTTCCAGTAAAAAGAAGAAACTGACCATCCTTCATGATGCTAGTGGAATCATTAAGCCAAGCAGGCAAGTGCCAATAAAGACCTTCAGCAGACTCATCTCTATTTTTCTCTCTGATTTGCAATGAACTAATGAGCTCTTGGGGGTAAAATTTTGCAGGATGACTCTGCTTTTAGGCCCTCCAGATTCCGGGAAGACGACCCTTTTGTTGGCTCTGGCCGGGAGGCTTGCTTCTGATCTGAAGGTAGTTTTTAGTTCAACTTCTTGTAATCAGCTTATTTGACTAACGATTCATATCGGAAAAAACTAAAGTTTACTTCTAACAGCTCTCTGGGAAGGTGTCTTACAATGGCTACAGCCTGAATGAGTTTGTTCCACAGAGAACTGCTGCCTATGTAAGCCAAAATGATGTCCATATTCCAGAAATGACCGTAAGAGAAATCCTGGCCTTTTCTGCAAGATTTCAAGGGGTCGGATCTCGTCATGGTCTCTCTCTCTCTCTCCCGGAAAAAAGTGTGATATCTGTTAATATAGAACGATGGTTTAGTGGTGGTTTAACATGATATCATAGAAAAAAGTCCCAAGTTCGATATCATTTTCCAAGAGAGAGTTAAAAATATATATAAAAGAAATGCCTTTAAGCTTTTGGATTTAGTAGCAGTTTAACAATAATGACAAATATGATTAAAAGTATCGGTTTTTTGCAGACTTGTTGGCAGAACTGATAAGAAGAGAGAAAGAAGCAAACGTTCTGCCTGACTCAGATATTGATGTGTTCATGAAGGTGTGGCTCAAAGGCCTCTATATATATTCCTTAGCCACACAAAGAGAAGGAAAGGCTCAAACTTTTTCATCCATTTCTTTTGTAAATGTTGCAGGCAGCATCACTAGAAGGCCAGCAGAGAAGCCTGGTCACAGATTATGTTATGAAGGTATAATTATTATTCAAATCTGAGATGAATAGATAAAATATATATTATTTTTCTCAGATAAATATATATTATTTTTGTTTCTTGGACCCTCTTTAATCAGATTTCTTTCTTCCTCCAACAACACAGGTGATGGGACTAGAAAATTGTGCAGACACCAGGGTTGGAGATGAAATGCTCAAAGGCATTTCAGGAGGACAGAGGAAGCGTCTCACCACTGGTAACCAATAAAAATCACTAAACAAGAAACAAGAAAGTTAGATCCTCATTTGATAACAACTTCTTAGCCAATTTTTCTTTTTTTTTCCCTAAAATTTTACTTAGATTTTGAAAACGTTTTTAAAAAGTAGATAAAAAAACACATACGTGGGAATAGTGTTTATAAGCTTAATTTTAAAAAATAGAAAACGAAAAATAAAATGATTATCAAATGGAGCCTTAACAAACGACTTAGAATGATTTGATTCCTAAAATCATAAACTAATCTGTATATTTTATAGGTGAGATAATTTGTGGGCCTGCAAATGTACTGTTCATGGATGACATATCTACAGGCTTAGACAGTTCCACAACCTTTCAAGTTGTGAACTCAATCAAGCACTACATTCACATTCTCAATGGAACTGCTGCCATTTCTCTTCTCCAACCTCCACCAGAAACTTTTGAACTTTTTGATGACATCATTCTCCTGTCTGAAGGCCAAATTGTTTATCAAGGTCCCTGCCACCAAGTCCTTGAATTTTTTCAGTTCATGGGCTTCAAATGCCCTGAAAGGAAAGGAGTGGCAGACTATTTGCAAGAAGTGTGTCCCTCAGTCTTCTTTCTTGATTACATTGTAAAATTGGAAAGGTAATGACTAAAGGGTGAGTGAATTTCTTACAGGTGACTTCAAGGAAAGATCAGAAGCAATATTGGGCAGAGAAGGATAAGCCTTACACATATGTCACAGTGACACAATTTGCAGAAGCATTTAAATCCTTTCACGTCGGAAGGAAACTAAGGGAGGAATTAGCAGTCCCATTTGACAAGAGCAAGTGCCACCCTGCTGTTTTGGCGACAAAAAAGTACGGCATTGGATATAAGCAACTTTGGAAGGCTTGTTTCGATAGAGAAGTCTTGCTTATGAAGCGAAACTCGTTCGTCCACATCTTCAAGCTTGCCCAAGTCGGTAAATGAAGTTGCCTTCATTTGGCCTATCAAAATCTATGTGGTGTCTGACTTCTCTTCTCATATTTCTTCTGCTAGATTTTCCTGATCTCAGTCATTTCGATGTCGGTCTTCTTTCGAACGAAGATGCCCCGAGACTCAATAACTGATGGACAAATTTACATGGGGGCATTGTTTAATGCACTAGTTGTTTGTATGTTCAATGGGATGTCTGAGCTTGCTTTAACAATTGCTAAGCTTCCTGTTTTCTACAAGCAAAGGGATCTACTTTTCTTCCCAGCATGGGCATATGCTGTTCCAGCAGGCATCCTTAAAATCCCTGTCTCCTTTGTGGAAGTTGCACTTTGGGTTTTTGTCTCTTATTATGGAACTGGCTACGACCCAAATGTCAAAAGGTTGGAAGTTTTTAACAACTCCTTACTTCACTAAGTTCTGTCTCTAAGTTCATTTTTTTGTGTCAAGAGTAGTTGCTAATACAATGTCATTAAAGTATTGATAAAAGATTAAATTACCGTAATGCATTAACTTAAACTTTAGAGTTGAGTGATAATTTAACAAAATGTAACTGTTTTCCAGGCTTTTCAAACAATACCTTGCACTTGTTGTTGCTAACCAAATGGCTTCGGCGTTGTTTCGATTGATCGCGGCTCTTGCTAGAAGCTTAGTTGTTGCAAGCACATTTGGTTCATTTGTTCTGTTGATTCTCTATGGAAATGATGGTTTTATCCTCTCAAGACGTATGTGATAACTGATATAGCCATGTGTTCTACTGTTGCTTGACATTCTTCATTACAAACATCAGTAACAATTCCTTTTTCGAAATCTATAGATCAAATGAAAAAGTGGTGGAAGTGGGCTTACTGGATATCGCCGATGATGTATGGGCAAAACACGTTGGCAGTGAATGAATTCGGAGGAAAAAGTTGGGATCGAGTAGTTTTCTTGAACTTTAACAACCTTAAAAATGTATGCCTTTTGTCTGATTTTCCCAAATGTTTATCTCAGGATCTTTATTTTTCTTGTCAAGGTTGTCCCTTCTAAAGGTGAAACTCTCGGGGTTTTGATCATGAAGCTTCATGGATTCTTCCCATCTGCTGATTGGTATTGGATTGGAGTTGGTGCAATGATTGGATTCACACTTTTATTTAACTTTTGCTATGCCTTGGCTCTAACTTATCTCAACCGTGAGTAACTTGTCATTCTCTGCCCCATTTCAAAACTTTGAAGAACAAATTCTTATACATCTGCATTTCTTGTTATGCAGCTTTGAACAAGCGCCAGGCCGCTAAACCGCGAGAATCACAGAGCGATGAGAGAGAGTTTGAGATCAGAAACACCCCAAATTGTGAAAATCCTAAAGGTTTTATGTTTCCCTAACATGATTTCAGTCTCTTTGTAGTGATTTTTTCTTCCTAAAAGGCACTCATTTGTAGTTTATAAACAGCTAATGCAAGTGAAAGTATGAGAGTTGCCTCCCAACCATGTAGTCAACCAACGGACAAGGCAACTTGTAATAAGAGAAGAGAAGTCGTTCTTCCATTTCAACCGTATGTACTCACTTTCGATGAGATCGTATACTCGGTCGATATGCCGGAGGTTATTAATCATCAAAACTACTTGTTAAGGCTTTGAACTAAGACTATTTCAGAGCTGATTTCTGGTTATGAACGTGTAGGAAATGAAGAACCAGGGTATCATAGAGGATAAACTAGTGCTTTTGAAGGGTGTGAGTGGTGCTTTTAAGCCGGGCGTTCTCACAGCCTTGATGGGCGTAAGCGGAGCGGGGAAAACGACTATGATGGATGTGCTAGCTGGGAGGAAAACTGGTGGATATATTGAGGGAAACATCAAAGTTTCAGGGTACACGAAAAAGCAAGAAACTTTTACTCGAATTTCTGGTTATTGTGAACAAAATGACATCCATTCTCCTCATGTTACTGTCTACGAGTCTCTGCTCTACTCGGCATGGCTACGTCTCGGCTCCGATGTCAGCAAAGAAACAAGAAAGGTTGATGTATTTTACAAACATTGTACCAAGTAGAAATTATCAAGAATAGTCCATTGAACAAAAAGGAAGTACCTCTGCCCAAAACAATCGTGCATACTCAGTTGTTCTAATCTTTTGTAGATGTTTGTAGAAGAAATCATGGAGCTGGTTGAACTTGACACATTGAGGCAAGCAATAGTTGGATTGCCTGGTATAAATGGTCTCTCAACCGAGCAGTGCAAAAGGTTGACAATAGCCGTTGAGCTGGTGGCGAACCCGTCCATAATATTCCTCGACGAGCCAACTTCAGGACTAGATGCAAGAGCTGCTGCAATTGTGATGCGGACAGTTAGGAACACCGTTGATACGGGACGAACGGTTGTGTGCACAATCCACCAACCGAGCGTCGATATATTTGAAGCCTTTGACGAGGTAATTTTACCAATAATTATGAAGACCACACATTCTTCTTGCTTTTGATATCCCCGGCTTTACATTTTGCTAAGATTTAGTGTGATTTGAAGTATCTGATCTGATATCACTTAATATGAGGCTGCAGCTATTGCTCTTGAAACAAGGAGGAGAGGCAATATATGTTGGACCACTTGGTCATCAATCTAGCCATTTGATCAAGTATTTGGAGGTAAAAAGAGGTTCCTACAAAACGAAACATCGGTAATATCATTTGTTTTCACGAGATATATATAAAGTTTGCACATTGATTCAGGGGATCGAGGGGACGAGTAAGATAAAAGATGGTCAAAACCCGGCGACTTGGATGTTAGAAGTAACCTCCTCAACTCATGCAATGGCTTTAGGGGTTGATTTTGCTGATCTATTCAAAAATTCTGAGCTCTATAGGTTGGTGCATTGTGAACTTAAAGTAAAAAACAGTTCACAATCATTTTCAACTATACTTACAATCATCTCATGTTTCAGGAGAAACAAGGAACTAATCAAAGAACTGAGTGAACCTCCCCCTGCCTCTAGTGATATCCATTTTAAGACCAAATACTCACAACCTTCTTTCAACCAATACTTGGCTTGCTTATGGAAGCAACATTTGTCATATTGGCGTAATCCATCATATGTTGCGACCAAGTTTCTGTTCACTCTCGGGGCATCATTGATACTCGGGACAATGTTTTGGAACCTTGGCTCCAAGAGGTAACTAACTTACCAAAATGCTCTTCCTCCGAGATTAATTTGCCTATTTTTTCTCTGCTGTCAATATAAAGCATTGACATAAGATGAACTTCAGATCAACATACATAGACCTGTTGAACTCGATCGGTTCGATGTACACGGCTTCGCTGTTCCTCGGTATACAAAATGCTGGAGGCATTCAACCAGTAGTTTCAATTGAGCGAACCGTCTACTACAGAGAAAGAGCTGCAGGATTGTATTCCGCCTTGCCATATGCGTTAGCTCAGGTTTAAGAAAATCGTCATATATTAAGCACAACCAATGACATTAATGCACATTTTTGTTCTAAAGTTGTCATTTTTCCTTCAATGTGTCACAGGTTACAATTGAGCTGCCATATGTTTTTTCACAGTCAGTGATGTATTGCATCATAGTATATGCAATGATGGGATATGAATGGTGTTTTGCCAAGGTTCTCTGGTTTTTCTTCTTCATGTTCTTCACTTTCCTCTACTTTACCTACTATGGCATCATGGTCATCGCTGCCACGCCAAGTTACCACGTCGCTTTGATAATTTCGACCGCGTTTTACGGGATGTGGAACCTCTTTTGCGGCTTTATCGTCCCGAGAACTGTAAGTACTTTAATTTGTCCAAGAAATTGTTGTTACATTACACCCAAATTCTCATTGAAATCATCATGGCTATACAGCGGATTCCTGTGTGGTGGAGATGGTTCTATTGGACTTGTCCATTGTCATGGACATTGTATGGACTAATTGCTTCACAGTTTGGAGATATGGAGGAGAAGCTGGATACAGGGGAAACAATTAAGGCGTTTATAAAAGAATTCTTTGGTTTTAGACATGATTTTCTTGGAGTTGTTGCAGCTGTTATTGTTGTTCTTGCTGTTTTCTTTGCACTCACATTTGCCATTTGTATTAACATCTTCAATTTCCAAAAGAGATAAAAAAATGAGGTTTTTCTTTTTCATGTCGACAAGAGATTTTTATTTTATGAGATTAAAAATTGATAATAGTACAAGATACATGGAGAAACCATTATATAAAAAAGAAACCCAATGTTTAGCCATTAAAGAAAATTTAATTGGTCCTAAATCATATTAACTAGTTAAGATATACGTCTTTGACAAAAAAATATTACCTAATTAAGACATATGTCTTCGATAAAAAAAATAGAAAGCTGAAATCTCCACTTGCTTTCATATATCGTTAATTTCGTTTAGCCATTAATCTTTAGAAATAAAAGAAATATAGTGGTTTTATTTGTCCACTTAAATTAGGTAACTGCGTGACAATATGATAGAACTTTTATAGAAGAAAAATGAAAAAGAAAAAAGACATAGTAATGATGAAAGCAGATAATTAATTATTACTAATAATGTAATGTCCAAGTCTCCATCGGCCAATCAACCACTGACAAGCTGATTTGGTAGTTAAATGAGTACGAATTGGTAATTTTATTTTATTTTTTAATTACAAGAAGATCTGATTAATGGTTTGCTGACTTGTCCCTCTCAAATCAGATATCAAGAATAATGTCACTGTATACTCCTAGACTACTAGAAATACAATAGGCATTTATTATTTATATATAAATTTATGGAGCTCAAGATAAGCTTTATATCAAAGAAAAAAAAATAATTATGATTTTAACTATGTCAAAATCATTTTTGCTATTGTCAAAATGACTTCTCTTTTCATTTCACGTTTGATAAATAAAAAATTTAATAAAAAATTTTGCTTTTTATCTAGGCATGGTTAGGTGCGTACATTTGTAATGAGTAAAGATGGTCTACTTTTTTGATATTCAAAATAATGTTATTATTAGACTTCACTTTTGGCATTTTAGACGGCTCTAAAATCCAATTAATTGATTGATTTATTATTATATCTTTTACTTTGATTACCTAATTACGTTGTTTTGTTCTTTAAATAAATATTTGTCCTTGAGGAGGACCACTTTGAAAGGAGTATTAGTTTCTAAATTCATTTCATCGTATAATTTATAAATAAATTTCAAATAATCAAGAACACAAATCACAATTGTGGTCCTTAATGAGGACCACAAATTGAATTAATTTCATCTAATTTATATATAATGCAATTGTCAGCTCACATGGAAGAACATTAATCATATATATATATATTATTTTTTTAAATAATATATATATTATTGTTTGTCAAATAAAAAATATATTTACCAACATGAACATGGTTTAACGTTAACTAGTATTTACTTGTTCCTAGGTTTGAAGTTTAAACCCTCGTACCAACTCCAATTTGTTGTACTAAAAAAATACATATATTTGACAAAAAAAAATTGTGAGTCTGAGTCTTATATACATATATATACACACACATATACATACATATAATATAGATATATACACATATGTATATATATACGGGTTAAGTTGACCATTTAAATTGTCTAGACATTTGTTACAAAGATAAAGAAAAATTAGTTCATTAAATATCTATTTACCTATTTTCAAATATTAAACTAATTAGATTAGTAGTTAAATGCCAAATTTTCATTTCATGATAATTTTTATGTCGAGGGCTTAAAAGAATTTTTTTCTAAAAATGGTTGAAAAATTAATATAAAAAATCTGAAAAGTTATTAAATGTGAAATGAAATATATATGTAATAATTTCATTGAAAGCTAAATGAAACAAGGTTAAATAGAACATTTAATTGTTACGGCATTTTGTTTTTTAAATTTTTTTGTCTTTAAAAATTATGTTTCTTTGCTCACAATTTACAATTTCTTTAATATGTTTGCACTTTTATTAAAAACACATCTGTACTCTCAGCTAAAATTAAAAAATAAAAACAAACTTTTATATATTTTTTTTTATAGTTTTCAAAATTTGGTCTAGATTTTGGAAGTATTTTTAAAAAGTAGATGCACAACAATAGATTAAAGAATACATAGGTAAAAGTAATGTTTACAATGTTTACCAGCTTAATTTTCAATTTTATCTCTAAATTTTTTAGTTCTACAACGACTTCCTAATAATAGTGTCGGTGGTTGTGTCAAACGTCTTGTTGCCGGTAAAACTTTATTGTGATACCTATGAGACTTTAATTAACAATGTTTTTTTGTTCATCGCTAAAGATCATATATTTTTATAGAGTTAGGTGATTACGTAAACACAACTAGTTTGACTAATAAGCATTCTAGTTTAGCTTACTAATATTAACGACAAAGACTGAATAGAAGCATAATATAAAGTTCTGCGCCTTCAAAACTCGGAGACTAAAAAACACTGGTCATTTTCAATTTAACCCAAAAAATTAGACGTCATATTGAATTTAATGATTCTACATATATCAATCAACAGCATATGCTCTTTTATCATTTCTCACAAAAGCTTCATATTAAAACAAACAAAGCTCTAAAAAAAAAACCCTGTGGGATGATGAGCCGTGTGGGACTTCCGGTAATAAATTTGAGCGGTGACGATCTGAGACCGGGCGGCGAGCGTTGGAAAACGACGGGGAAGAAAGTCCGAGAAGCGGTGGAAGAGTACGGGTGTTTCATGGCGGAATACAACGGGGTTTCGCCGGAGCTCCGGGAGCAGGTTTTCAAGGCATTGGAACAACTGTTTGATCTTCCAGTTGAGAGGAAGATGAAGAACAAGTACGAGAAGCCCTTCAATGGCTACGTTGGCCAGCTTCGTACTCTCCCTCTCCATGAAAGCTTGGGCATTGATGATGCCACAACCTTCCATGGAGTTCATAGCTTCACTAATCTCATGTGGCCCTCTGGAAATCACCATTTTAGGTCACTTCTTTTCCTCTTCAAACTATGTTTTTTACTCAAACTTCGTGATTAGATTGAAAGTTAAAAGTTAAAATTGATTCGGGTAAAACTCGAAATTTCTTTTCCTTCTAATGATTTTTTTGGGCTTGGTATCACAAATAGATGGGTAGGGTAAGTCAAACTTACCATTTTAATTTGTAAATAATTGTTCAACCAATTATGATTGGTTACATACCTTAGAAATTAATTTCGGCACCAAATTTTGTAGGATGAGGACGTTGTCTAATGAGATTAGTTGAGTATAACGGACACTCATGAATATAAAAAAAGAAGAAAAGAAATGGGATTCTCAATTAGCTAGCTAGAATGGTTTTTCTATTCCTTTGAATATATTTTTAGCTTGCCAAGGGACTATATTATTTTTTGTGGGTGTTGACTTTTATGTTTGTGCTAAGTACTGTATATCTATTATTAATTTTTTTTGTTGGGACGTTCTAACATTTTTTGATATAAAATATTTTTGGGGTCCGTTTGGTAACATTCATGTTTCTTGTTTCTGCTCCTTTATTTTTACGGAAGAAAAATATATTGCATGGTTCTAATCTCTGAGAATTTAAGTATGATAAAATAATATTTTTATTTATATTTTGGAATAAATTGGAAATAAGAAAGAGAAACTTTGGTTGTTTCCAAAATTTTTATACAATTGTGAGAATGTTATAAAAAAAAAAAAGAGAAACAATAAACAAAGTTAATTATAAAATGCTTAGATTTCTTAACAAAATTGAAAATGAGAAAAAGAAACTGAATGTTTACCAAACCAGCCCTTAGTTGCTAACTATTAATAAAAATTTGACAGAGTTCTAAGTTTTTTGAAAACATAAAAAAATATTTATTTTCTATATTTCTCTCTCCTATTTGTTAAATATACAATTGTGGTAAGTAAAAGATACCAAAGTATTGTTATTTTAGTATCGAGATGTGTTTTGTAGTAGGTTTTTGGATGTTTTAATGATAATATTTTAGGTGATCTATGGATTGAATCTTTTTTGGTTAAAAATTCCCTTTAATTTGTTTCTTTTTTTCTTTCAGTGCAACTTTGCATTCATTTGCAAAGATAGCAGAAGCATTAGACAAAATGGTGACCAAAATGATATTTGAAAGCTATGGAGTGGAGAAGTACTACGATTCTCATGCTTCTTCCATTACTTACCTTCTTCGAGTGTTGAAAAACAAAGCTCCTCAATCTGAAAACCCTAGTTTGTGCCTTGTGGATCACACTGATAAGAGCTTCACCACCATGCTTTATCAAGATCATATCAATGGTTTGGAGGTCAAAACTAAAGATGGGCAGTGGATTAAAGTCGAGATATCCTCACCTTCAAACTTCATCGTCATTGCGGGCGATGCGTTCAAGGTCGAGTATATATATATGACTAACTTTACGTTAAAGTGGTCGTTTCAGACTCCGGAGATAGTTAAGACTCAAAGTATTAGAATGAAACTATAAAACTTAAGGGTCGGTTTTGGTAACGTTTCTTTTTTTTCTTTTTAAAGAAAGAGAAAAGCAAAACTATTTCTTCCCTTTCTTAATCATTCCCTCAAATTTTAAATTAAAAAATTCAAGGACAAAATGTACTTTTATTCTTGAGATTTGAATTAAGTGTCAATTCAATTCTTGAGGTTTCAAAATGGACATCTTTAAAGTTTTAAAATGGTTCTAAATGACCGTCCTTCAAGTTAATTGACCCATAGTCAATTAAGAAAGATGATATTGCCATTATTTGTTGAGTGGATTGTGATTATGTGGTAAAATATATTATTTTCAAATAAAGTAATCAAAATTATTATATATATATATAATATGTCTTAATAAAAATGAGAAATGAGAAAAAAGAAATCGTTACTATAGATTTATGTTCTTAAAAAATAAGAACAAGAAACATAAACGTTACGAAAAGAGTACATAAACTTAACACATACTATCCAACCACCTTTTTCAAAAAGTTTCAATTTGTCGAGTTACTTATTTTCCGAGAACAAAACCCTAATTTATATAGTGTGTGTTTTGGGTTTTGGTTGAAAAGGCTTGGAGCAATGGCAGGATAGAATCACCAACTCATAAAGTGATGACAAGAGGGAATGAAGACAGGTACTCTGTTGGAATGTTTGGATTCAGCAATGGAACTGTGGAAGTGCCAAAAGAGCTGGTTGATCAAAACCATCCATTGAAATATAAGCCTTTTAACCACATTGGATTGCTTCGATTCTTCCAATCTCAAGAAGGTTTCAACTCCAAATCTCCCCTCAAAGATTACTGTGCTCTCTAAAACCAAATCCATGTATATATTTTCAAGCTTTCCATTGCTGTTTCTGTGAACTTTTTTGTTGTTTGTTCTAATTTCTATGCTTTTGTTTAACAACTTGTCGTCAATCAGAACAACTCTAATAAACTTTAGTGTGTGTTCTTTTTCCTATGAACATATATATTCTCCGTCTCGATAATTACTTTCAAATCTTTGACTCTGAAGTTGGTGTGCTCTAGGCTATCGATGCGTGACATCTTGATTTTGCCCAATAATAACAATAGGAGTATGTTCAAATTTGGAGAAACTAAAAAATTATTATAACTAAACCTTATTCGCAATCGTATGTGTGTTGATTATTGAAAGTATATAAACATGTGAAAAAATAATCCGTAATGATGATTGAACTAAATGAAGGAAGAAAATTATATCAATATTCATGGGTTTCCATATGTAATATCATGAACATTGTTATGGTATCAGAGTCTAAACACTCAAATGAGCATTTGGTGCAAAAATAGGGTTCAGTCAAGATCGATGAGCAAAAAAAACCACGATCTTGAGAGGGCATATTAAGGAATCCCACATTGAAAAGATAAGGGTCCGTTTCGTAACGTTCCCATTTCTTGTTTTTCATTTATAATTTTCTTAAAAAATTTAAACATTTTACAGCTACCTATGTTTCTTGTTTCTCATTCTTGTAATTGTATTGAAATTTCGGAAATAACCAAAACAAGTTTCTTCTTTCTTGTTCCTATTTCCAATTTGTTTCAAAATATAAATAAAAAGATTGTTTTACCATACGTGAATTCATGGACGTTTGGGTCATGCAAGTCATTTTTCTTTATTAAAAATGAAGAAACAAAAACAAGAAATAGAAACATTATTTTAAGGGATCTAACAATTGTTTATAATAGATATGAACTATTATTTTTATTGCCAATTAATTTTAAGATGGATCTACATCAATATTAATAAATCATGAGATTAGCAAACTTACAAAGTTATTATCAAGAATAATTATGAGATCATTAACATTAAACGACATTAATGCATTCAAACAAAATACAATAATTATATTTTTGTTGTACAACTAGATCATTGTCTCCATTTATTTGTCTTCATATCCAACCAACTATATTCCATAGTATTTTACTACATACATTCCTGGCCTTTTCTGTTAAACGTGTTCTATCAAACAACTCCACGCATCAAACTTTATTAAAGTAAACCCAATAGAAATGAATCATGACATAACTATATCATTAACAAATGGACCCAAAAATGACATATAATTTCTTTCATTTCCTTCAAACTTTTTTGGTCCATTTTTTCCCTCTGATATAAGCTATCAAAAAGTAGGAAAGTTTAAGCAAGCAAAACTAGGTACAATGGGTACGCAAGCCAAATCTAAGATCCCGACAATCGAGTTATCGGAAGAAAAATTGAAAGTAGGAAGCGAAGAATGGGTGTTGATTGGTAAAGAGATACGAGTTGCTTTGGAAGAATTTGGTTGCTTTTTGGTGGTTTATGAAAAAGTTTCTTTGGAGCTCCATAACTCCATTTTTGAAGCAACAAAAGAGCTCTTCCATCTCCCAATTGAAACTAGGATCCAAAATACGAGTGAGAAGCCCTACCATGGCTATTTTGGGCGATACTCCTTTCTTCCTCTCTATGAATCCATGGCCGTGGATAATCCAACTTCTCTGCAAGCAATTCAAACTTTCACCAATCTCATGTGGCCTGCTGGAAACAAAACCTTCTGGTATTTTTTTCAATTTGGTTTTGAATCTACGAATATAGTTGCTATAGTTTGAATACTTGTCTTACGTTACAATATTTATGTTGCTAAGAAACCTAGAGTTCTTAAATCCTGATCATGGCCACTTACGTCCTACGGTTTGAACCTATTTCGTCCCAACCCTTTTAATTTTTCATTAGTCCCAATGGTTAAAAATAATTAAATTTGTTGTAACCTATTGTCTTAAATTTTTGGATTATTTGATACCAATAGTCATTAAGCCTTACTTGGTAACGATCCTGTTTCTTCATTTTTAATAAAGAAAAATGAATTGTACGGTTCCAACATCTATGAACTAAAGTATGATACTACACTATTCTTATTTATGTTTTGGAGCAAATGAAAAATGGGAATACGAAAAAAGAAACTTGTTTTGGTTGTTTCCAAAATTTCTATACAATTTTGGAAATGTTCCCAAAAAAAATAGAAACAAGAAATGTAGCTAGTTGCAAGATGCTTAGATTTCTTAAAGAAAATTGGAAACGAAAAACAGGAAATAGGAATGTTACCAAACGAGCCCTAAGTTAACCTATGATGGTTCATCTTTCCTTGACTTGTACCTAATCCATTGACTAACACAAAACCAATCAAATAAAAACATAAGTACCAAAATGACTAAATTGAAACTTTTTCAAAACACACAAACCAAATTGGAATTTGGAACTATGTCCAAAACTACAGGGATCAAGTTTTATTAGTGGAGAAAGTGAGTGTTCATGCCAATTTAAACCTAATTCAATTAGTTAAGACTTGTATCTTCAGTCAAAAGGTGAGAGTTCCCGACATACACCCTGCATGTTATTGAACTAAAAAACGTGAGTATTTTAGTGAAACAGTTCACGATTTCTCAACGTTGGTGGCGAAACTAGAGGAGACAGTTACAAGAATGGTGTTGGAAAGCTATGGAGTATCGAAGCAAGTGTGTGAGTCGAGCATTGAATCCACGACCCACCTTCTTCGGTGTTTCAAATACAGAGTGCCAAAGCAAGACGAAACCGATCTAGGTTTACACTCCCACACGGATCTCACATTTCTTTCCATACTTCATCAGCATCTCATTGGCGGCTTGCAAGTTAAATCACTTGACAACAACAACGACGGAGAATGGATCGATATCGACCCTGTCGGCCGCTCCTCGTTCATCGTCATGGCCGGCGATGCACTCATGGCATGGAGCAACGACAGGATTAGAGGCTGCAGGCACCGAGTGATGATGAGGGGGGATGAAACCAGATATTCACTTGGCCTATTTTCGTTCAAGAGTGGCACCATTAGTGTGCCTGAGGAGCTAGTCGAGGACAACCATCCCTTGAAATACAAGCCCTTTGATCACTTCGAGTTCCTTCGCTATGACAAAGCAAATGCTTCCCATAAAACTTGCTCTCGTATCAAAGACTATTGTGGCATATGATGTTTTTGATTAACAGCTTGCTAAAAATTTTAAATTTGTTTGATAATCATTTTGGTATGTGGTTGAAAATTAAGGTTGTAACTCTGTGTTATCTATTTTAGTAAAAAGTTTGAAAACTAAAAAAAAATAAATTTCAAAACCTTATTTTTGTTTTGATTTTTTGTTAGGTTTTCAAATGTGTATGTTTAAGAAATGTGAGAACCCAATTAAAAAAAATTGTGACGAAATAAGCATAATTTTCAAAAAACAGAAAATTTAAAATGAAATGATTATCAAATGGCCTCTCAGTAGGTGGTTTTTTCAGCCATATGTCATTATGTGCGTAATTAAAGGTCACCATAATGTATGTATCTAGTAGTATATGAAGGAGAAGTTACAGAAGTATTATGTGTCTGTCCGAAGTAATTATTGGACGTAAATTTAAAAATCTAATATTGTATGAAAGAGAAATGATAGTGTCCATTTTTCAAATAGTAGTTTGCATAAATATACATTCTAATCCTCCTAAGTATTTTTCTATAAAAAAAAAAAAAAAAAATTCCCAATGGCTTCCATCTTTTTCCCTCTTTAATAAACTAAGAAACTGCAAAGACTAATGACCAATGGGCCTTTTTGATAATTGAAAGGAAGGCCCAACAAGCTTTTGACCACTCTTGAAAAAAACAAAAGAAGTTGGGGTAGGCTAATTATTTGAGTGGTTATTTAGTTCTTAAGAGTTAGTTTTAGTAACATAATTATTAAAGTATAGCTTATTGCATCTCAGTTAATTAGTTTAATGGAGTCATTAACTTCAGTTACTGTTACATTAACTTTTGAAGACTTTATTGTCATCTTTATGCCCTTGTAAAAAGGCTATATAATTCACATATTTAACTTTCTTTTTATCATCTATCTTCATATAAATTCTACATAATTACCTTTAAATGCATGATATTACTTTATCCTAAAAAAAAAATGCATGATATCACTTAAGCAAGTATGCACGACAGAAGTTAGAAGAAAAACAAAAATAGTTTGAAATATGGAAAAATGTTATAAAATTTATAAAAGATATAATTTTAATTGAGAGCTTAAATATGACCATTCTCGTTAGTTTTGAAACGCTAATAATTAACGAATCACATTAGGGATTGAAAAGAAGGCTAACAAACTTTGGATCATTATAATATGATTTAGTTTCCTTAGGTAACTTATTTTTCAACTTCATTAATTAATTTAAATGAGTAATTTAACTTTAGTTTGATTATTCAAATTAATTTATTATATCCTAAAGGGTGCTGTGTGTATATATGCATGCATATATATATATATATAAAGTAAAGGCTATATAAATTCAACGTATTCCTAAAAAAAATAAAAAAATCTAACATGTTTAGCCTCCCTTCTATCATTTAGCTTTCAATAAATTATATCTAATTCTTTTAAATGTATGATATTAAAGAAGTGGAGTTTCTAAGTGTATGTATAATTAATAATAATAATAATAATAATAACTTTAGCTTTTATGCCTCAATTTAATGCTTTAAATTTTCTAAAGAAATGAAATATGGATTCATTTCAAAATAAATAGATATGTTAAAGTTTCACTAAAATACAAATAAGTCCGCTCTTCCTCAGAAATTTTCGTTTATAACCTTTCAAAACGCATCGTTTTGATAAATATTTAGTGGAAAAAAACGCCGTTGCCGGGGATCGAACCCGGGTCACCCGCGTGACAGGCGGGAATACTCACCACTATACTACAACGACTTCATGTGCACATTACACGTTTTTATTATTAATTCTTTAAAACTTAAAACAATGATTTTTTTTTACTTCATTTAAATAGATTTTTTTAATTGTTTTTTTTACCCAACGTGGGATGAGGATTAAGCCTCTAACCTTAGGGAATGGAATAAAGTGTCTTAATCGCTAAGCTAAGTTGAAAGGAATAAAATGTCTTAATCGCTAAGCTAAGTTGAAAGGTTAAAATTGTGATTCTTTACTACACTTGATTTATTAATGTTATTATTATATATAAAAGATTAAAAATCTTTGCACCTTGTTTATAATTTTTTCAGAAATCAATTTGTTTTTCCAAATAATAATAATAATAAAATAAGAGTCAAATATATAATTGTTTCTAAAATATTTACATTAACAACTTTGCTGACCACTATTAAATATATATCATCATGTCAACATTTTCTATCAAAATTTTCATGTCTATAGGTTAACTTTCAGAGCATCGCAAAAAGGTCATATAAAAAAATCATCAATATAGACTCAATATTATTTATTTTTAACTTATTTAAAATGGGTGTAATGTTTATATTTGTTACTTAAATATTTGTCATGAATTTTTTATTTCTATAATTTTTTTTTTTGGAAATAACTATCTACATCTACATTTTATCGATATTTTTATAAAATCGAGACATTGATATTTTCATCAACATTGATATTTGAAACCTTGCGTGAGATGTTACAAAATTTATTTCATTTGGGTATTATTAAAGTACGAAGTAACCACTACAAATTTTTACTTTCTTTGTGAGAAACTACCGAAGTTTCTTCCATGGTGTTTGTTTTCTAGTGAAGTTAAATTTTCAAATGTAAATTTCAATCAGATTATTATGCAATTAAAAATTAAAAGTAAAAGTAGAGTTGTAATTGGATGGAAATTACTTTTTAAGAAAAACTTGAAGATAATGAAAATCTTCCCAAGTGTTGTGATTATTATTATCTTCTCTCTTGTCTCCCACTTTCACAAGATGTTGGATTTGTACAAGTTTGTTACATGTATGCACTATATACACATATATCATCATTAGATTTGTCCAAATATTTCTACAATTTTTACGGATTGAGATAGATATAGTACAATATGAATAGATATCACTACACAAAATATATGAATATTAGAAAGTCCAAGACTTAGACTTTGATTCAAAGAATTCAAACATTATATTTCAACATGTCACACGTCACGTACTATAATTTCTTAGACATTTAAGATTTTTTGGTTTAGATAGGTATAGATTTGAAATAACTGTTGTGGAAGGCAACAAATTCCACTATCGAGATATCATGACCCGCAAGCACAATAAAAAGGGTCATTTAGCAGGACATTATTGTGATGTCTTGCCAAAACGATTTTGAGGATCAAACACATGGGTGATGCTTGATGACAAAAATAACATAAAAACAAAAAATAAAAAACTTCAATATGTGTACTATAATTTCTTTTATAATATTACCTAAAAAAATAAGAGAGAAAAATAATATTATTCCAACCATTGAATTTATACGCTAATAATAATAGGATTCGAAAATATTATTGTATAAATTAATTTTCTGTACACATATTAGATAGTAAATACATGACATAAGCTATTACAAAGATCAATAAATTTAAAATTTGAAATTTCTCATATTATTATCGATTACGTTATTTCAATCAATCAATCAAAAGGGGACCAATATTGACAAATACACAGTGCACATTATATTGTTGGTTAAATGCAATTGATTACTCTTTATACCTTGTTTAGACATTCATATATTTTGGGATTAGATTCCATAAAAAGGCTTTTAATTTTCAACACAATTAGCAAAAGAAAGTTATAAGATTTTTTTTTCTCTTTCTGAATGATTGTGGAATATAATACACCACTAATTGAAAGTCAATAATTAAAAAGTAGGTGAATACATACATATGTGTGTTTTATAATAATATATAATATAATTTAGACATCATTTAAATTAAGACTATAGATAGGCTACATGAATATTTATGTGATGTGATTGAAATAGACCGCTACAGGTACTAGCTTGCTGCGAGTTATATGTATATGTAACGTTTTTTTTTTAGTGTATGTAAAAGGTCTGCCTTTTTGGGTTTATTTTGGAAAAAAGAAAAAAAAAAGATTGTTGAAAGCTTTTGTGTATTAAACAAATTTAAACTCTCGACCAACTCTAATAAGTTAAATGCAACAACGCCTCTAAAATTCTTTATACGAAAACTAAACTTGTGCAATTCTTTTCTTTATCAGATCCAAATAATTAACATCAATTTAGAACTTATATTAATATTGTGATAATTTAATTTAATTTTTTTTTAAAAGAGTGATATGAATTAAGAGGGATTGGAGAGAGGAAAAAAAGGGGTAAAAATTGTCCCATCGAGAGACTGGCAATTGCAAAAGCCAAACTACCAACAAGCATGTGGTTGCAGTCTCTCACGGTACCAACCTCTTCCAACATCCTAAGGAAATTCATGCTGCTCTTTGTCTTCTCAAATGGTAAAAATGTTTAACCTTTCTACCCACAGTAATATTATAATTAACCACCAAATTCCGGATTCAAAATCGTTAATTTGTTTGGTTCGTAAAAAATACAAACAAAGATTCACACTGACTAGGAAAGGGGGTGATATCAAATAGTATAGAGATGAAAACAATTATATCTGTTGATTTGAGGTTCTTAGGTGAAATTAAAAGCAAAGTCGTGAGAATTATAACCAAAACTGACAATATCATATAATTGTAGAGATACTTGAAGATACTGTGGTACTTAACATAGTCTTGAAGATTTATGAAGCTTAAGTTTAGACAATTTATTTAAGAAAATCAATTCCGAGAATAAGGTATAGATGAGTACTATATATTAGAATTTAATTATAGTGGTGTCCAAATTAAAAGGTACTATAAGGGTATTATGGTGATTTAACCAGTTTGTCTTCATGTGTGTGTACACATGGACTAGCAATAATAATTAGTGGAAGTTAAACTAGAGTTTGATGTGGTTAATGATTGTGTTAATCATTTTCGAAAGCCTTTAAGCTGGCAATGATATTAAGCAAAGGTATTAAGGTGATTAAACATTGAAAAGAAGGAATCTTGATGCATCTAGTTATTTATGTGGCCAAATCAATAATTAACATATTGTATATTTTTAAAGAGATACACAGATTCATTATATAGTGTCCTTTTACTTTGGAAAATGAGAATTTTCAAAATAGGAATATATATATTTTATTTAAAGTTTTTTTTTTCTCCCACACCTATCTAATCCAAACTTGCACAACAAACAAAAACAAACAACATCACAACTATCACACACACACTCTCTGGATTTGATAATACTCACTACACCCACCACCCTCCTTTGATTTGACTCTCTGTTTAAAAAAAAAATCCCCTAAAAAACGCCTCCTTCCCCAAGTTGGCTTTATTACATTATATTCATATAGTTAGCCAAAATGGAGGAAGTTTCTTTTTTCTTTTCAATACAATAATACGTGGGGTTTGGAGATTCAAACCCACGACTTTTTGGTCAAAATATATATCTTAACAAGTTCAACTAGATTCAAATTGATTGAGATGGGAGAGGTTGAAGCTCAGTTTATTTTTAGTTTATTTTTTTAACTTTTAAGGGATAGGAGAAGGGAGGGGAAAGACTATCCTACAGTGACACTGCTGTGATCGTTGATGTCTAACAGACTAGTGAGAGGAGCACAAAGGCGAACAGAAGAGAGAGCGTCGTTGAAATGCTTCGCCTTGGTTCCGAGGTATTCGGACCAAGTGACTGGGCGGTAGAGAGGGGGCTGGGTTGGGCCCAATAGTTTCTTGAGCGGTGAGATTTCGGCGCTTTCCGGAGGCCCAAATACGTATGCCACGGATAGCCTTTTTCGGGTTCGGTTCACCACAGCTTGGTGGAGCACACTCGGGTACAACCCATTTGTCAAAATGTGGAGCAGGTCTCCCACATGGACCACCAGCCCACTAGGTACCGGCTCCACCGTCACCCACCGCTTCCCCTCCCGTAACACCTGCAACCCCCTGGTGTTGTTCTGGTACACCACCGTAAGGAGGCTGGTATCGGTATGGACCCCAAGACCCATGGCACGATCTGGATCCGGACATATCGGGTATGAGTTAAACTGGGTCACCGAGTGGCTCGCTTGAAAATCTCCATTCGGGCCAGCCCATTTCATATCCTCTCGGGTTATTCCGAGTTCCCCCAATGCCATCCAAATCAGCCTTCCACATAGACTCTTCATCTCTCTCTCATATTCTCTCATTGTATCACTACAAGACAATAAAAATAAAAATCAAAAAAATGAACCCAAAAAATTACAAATATATCTACTTATAGTGTTTCTATTTTAATACCAAAAACCATATCTTCCTTTTGTGGGCCATAGCTTGAGAAGTATTGTTTTTAAAAAATAAAATCAACATAGTTGAAATTAAGACATAAGTATTTAATGTAGAGAGTGAGATTAATTAATACCAGTATTCGGTGTAGTCATTGGGCCAAAGTTGGCGGAAGTGGTCGAGAGGGGAGCCGACGATGGTGAAGCCTTCAGACCACATGCGTTTGGGGAAGAAGGAGGAGATGCGGACGAGGCCGTAGCCAGTGACGCCATCGGGGGAGCGGGCAGCCTTGAGTTTGTGGTGGAGGGGTAAGGAGAAGAGGGAGTTAGCGGCAGACTCGAGGCGGTCGAGGAGGGAGGTGGAGATACCATGGTTAATGACTTGAAATGCCCCCCAGGTGCTGCATGCGTTAGCAACATGGTGGGCAACGTTGGAGAGAGAAAGGTCAATGAGGGGAACGGTGTCGAAGTCGGAGTCAGTATCGGCAAGGGAAGGGAAGGTAGCAGGTTGGATCCATGCATAGGAGTCAGGGAGCTCTTGGAAGGAGTCGAAGTCCAAGTTTTTATGAACAGGGATGTGAACAGGGTGAGATTTAAAAGCGTCTGTTATTTTCTTGGTTGTGGCCATGATGAGATTCGATGATCTCCCAATATTCGCAAAGGATTTCAAAAGAACAGGAAAGGGTGGAAAAGTGGTTATGGAAGAAGTATTTTGGAGGGGAAAGGGGCAAAAAAATATAGGATTTGTAATTTGTAAACAGGAAAGATAGAACATAAAGCACATGAATAGAATGATATGAAGTGAGTATTTATAGAGACGATGGAGAAGATACTGAAAACTTGTCCCAACATTCAACGCAGACACGTAAAACAATGAACAATTGGGAGGGAGAGAGAGGATGATGACAAGGTGGGTGAGACTAATATTTTGTTGGAAGGAGTGGTGGTTTTTTCACCAGTGTTGAGTGGTGTTGGGGAAGGAGAGTTAATGGAAGGGAGACAAGGAAAAGAAAGGGGAGTGAGTGTTTTGTATTGGACAATAGAAAGAACAAAATAGGAAAGGACCATATTGTCCTCTCCAAAACAACTATCTTTTTAACTCAACCACAAAAGAGATTTTTATTTTTTTTATTATATATGGAAAATACTTGGCCCTTTAACAAGAAGGAATATGTCCTTACCACCATTAAATATTTAACAACTAAATGGAAAATGCAAAAATAAATATCTTTATAAAAATCAATGATTTGTCAAGATCTGATCCTCATCGTTAAAGAGCTAAATATTTTCCTATATATATAAAAGAAAGAATAGCAGAAGAAATTAAAGGACATTTTTCTCCCTGGATGATTATGAATTAAAGGCACTTAATAAAATTTCCATCAAAACAAAACACTGCCCTTTTCTCCCATTCTCCATGTGCATCTGTCTTGTCTTCAAGTAGAAAACCATCTAAATCAAACATACCCCTCCCCCTTCCCCTCCTAAACCATACTCTCTCCAAACTACATGACAATACTTCTCTTTTCATTTGGACCAAACTACCCTTCCTCTCTTGTATTTCTCTTGGGGTCCACCCACAAGAAGCTCAACCTTCACACATGCCCTTGTATTATATATAATCTAAGAGCACAAGTTGATGAGGAGAATTTTGTCTCCACCACCATAAAAAAAACAACATAAAAAGAAAAAGAGGGAAAGATGAGTAAATTATGTAAGAAGGGGTATGATTTTTTTGCATATTTGTTTGTATGAACAAAAACTTTGTAGATTTAGGCATTAGCCATGAAAAGTAGTAAAAGTTTGTTTTGGTATTTAGTGGTTACATTTTTGGGGAAGAGAGAGAGAGAGAGTTGTATTTTTGTTTTTGTCTTGTTATTGAGACCAAGGTGGGGCTCCATTTATATACATCAAACTTTGTATCCTCTCTCCCTCCAATAGTCCTACCACATTTATTAGGGCTGTCTCCAAACTTCCTTTCCTTTTGCCTAACTTGATTTAAATCCAAATCTGGTTTTGAGAAAACATGTCTTAGAGTTGTTTTCTTTTAGTTTTGTTAATTTTGTTAATTTGTCTTAAAACTCCTTTCTCCTCAATAACAATTTCTCTTGTTTCCCACCATTCATAAACAAGCCCTCCCTATTTCTCTTGGTTTGTTTGTGGTCAAAATGGAAGGAAAAGAAGATGTTATGAGGACATTTGTTGTCATGCAATTCCATGGCCAACCCTCGTTGGGATGACCATAATAAATGGGACATATGCTCGTGAATCTTCCAACATAAATGCATTATATTATGGTCTTTTTACATGCATATGACTTTCACGTGGCCTAAACATGATGAGGTCGGCTCCTAATTAACATACCACAAAATAATGCCTTAGTTTTGCTGTCTCCAAATACATATATATCTAACATACTCACACATTTTATGTATATACTCAACTACGTATATGTATATGTATGTATTTATATGTATTGTTGGTGTGTGATTTTTATTGAGGTGACATATCAGTGAGTTGTCTAATGTGGGTTGTGCTAGTACTTGCAAGTAGATCCGAAGAACTAGTGTGATGGGAGCATTGAGAATTGAAGCTTTGCCACTATATTTGCTATCAAGATTCATGAAGTTCCATCTCACAACCAATTGGCAATGAAAGAAGTAATTCATGTCTACTACAAACCTTTGTTAAGTTGATTATCTTTTTCGATATGGGATCCTTAACATGCACCCTCAAGATCGTGACTCTTTTTACTCATCCATCTTGGTCGGATCCCATTTTTGGACCGGATGCTTGTTTGAGCGTTTTGGACAATTTTGATATCATATATATCAAGATTCATGAGGTTCCATCTCACGACCAATTGACAATGAGAGGAATAGTCCATGTCCATTATAAACATTTGTTAAGTCTCTTATTTGTTCAATGTTATATCTTTAATAGCTGCTGTACTCGTCATTCAATGAGTTTTTGAATATGTATTATAAGAATAATGTAGAAGGTGGGGATTGATGGTAATATCCAAAGTTTTGGAATTATATCTAGCTTTTTGTAGTTAGGGTTAATGATTTAGGTTAAGAATATTGAGTATATATGATATATAAAGAGGCCAAAAGATATGCTTTTGGTTTGGACCTTATTGGTCTCCATCATTTTCATTTTCAACAATATGCTCCATGCTATTCATTGAAGTTGACATTCTCCTTCATATTCATTCATTTTCCTTTCTTTTTCCTTTTTTGCCCATTTTTGGGGGTTTTTTTTAAATGTTTTTCTCTTCAAACTTAAGACCCAACAAATTAGATTTTCCTTTTAATTAGTTGAGGGAATAATTCTACTTGTTTCTTAATGTGTAGTAATGGAAGAAACAACATAAATAAGACAAAAATGGCATCTGAAAAATAATTTAAACTTTGGCCTTGACTTGTGACATAACTTATATGTTAAATAATAATATAAAATCAACAACAAGAAGCTAGCCTACCATATCATAGCCTCTCTATCTCTCTCTCTTCATCCTAGCTTATACGAATTCACCAAATTTCTATTGAAAAAGGACAATAATAGATGGCAAAAGAGAAAAAGAAAAATAGAAAAGAGAAAATATTAGTACAAACAAATTTGTGTAAATGCCTAAAAAAGAAGGGAAACCACACATCATAGTACAAATTTAATATTCCTTTTTCGGTAAAAAGTTCACAAATTTTCGGTAGATTTTACGTTACACATCTCAATTATGCTATTTTTATAAAATTTTAAATTTTCTACTACTTTTACAAATATCTGTTTATTTTATACTATTTGTATACACGCCTCTAAAAAATTCGGTAGAACGAACCGATGTCCATAATTGTCCCTTTCCCAATAATTACGATGAACGACCAAACATTTTATAAATAAAAAAACAATAGAGGCCAGAACGAACATAAAGGATAGTTACATGGTACAAAACAAACATGAAAAGGGAAAGCAAAGCATCACAAAAAAATCAAACATATGTGACATCTAACCATGCGTGGAAATGGTGGAACAATGCCAATCTAATCAATTAGTTCTTTTGATATCATTTTTATCTCAAAGACATTACAAAACCTAGCTACCAAGGTTCGTGTGTTGTCATGTTTATGGAAGAGGACAACTTGATCTACAAACCACAAGGTATAGGAGTAGAATGACACTTGTCGCGGTCGAGTTGGACCGTCCTATGTTAATATGTTGAGGTAAAATCAAATTCCAAAGTACAAATCAAAAAACATCTTGGTCATGTTTTTGATGTATGATCAAATATAGCCATAAAATGTTTAGTTTTACACCATCCAATGGTCGTTCTCTTTGTTTCTAAATTTAGGAATTCATTTTTGTGAAAGGTTGGTGTTGACGATGGGCACTCCCCACTACAAAACAACCAAAGGGGCAAAAAAAAAAAAAAATCCGTACTTGAAAAAGGCAAACAAAATGAAAATTCTTCAAAAATGGCTTCATAAAGTAAAATTAAAAGCATGAACCTATATATCCTATATTCATGAATATATAAGATCATGAATGGTTACATTAATGTATCCAATTTATTAAATTAAATTCGTGATCTATGATTCGATTGAATTATGATGATGCGTTAATTAATTAATAAAATAGAGAGCAAATAAATAAATTTGAGAATAGTAAAATTAGTTGAAAGTACTATTTAAACAGTTATTATAATAATATATGTTGTTTGTAGTGGTTGGTATTGGAACACAATTTCGCTTAGCCCTTTTAAAGGGAAAAAGAATGTCAACGAAATGATGTTAATATAATCACTACAATGATAATTAATAATTAGAGATTGACAATCATTTGATTAATCTCAAATCTAATAGCCAACACCCAGCGGCAGACCCCAAAAAAAAGGCCTTTTTTGGGGGGGTTTTTTTCAAAAGCATGCAAATTTGGGGTCAATATCTCTCTTTTCAGCCAATGAATAGATAAAGATTGATTTGAGAGGGAATAAATGGAAAGGAAAAAAGAAAAGAAAAAGAGGGGTTGGGAAAACCCATTAGAATATTTATAGATTATGTCAATAATCACCAAAATCAATAGCATAGGGCAATTAGAAAAGACAATTGATTTCCAATTTCCCACTTGTTTTCCAACTATAAGAAAAACAATGACTACCACTTCTTTGCCCCCAACCCCTTTTCCCCCTTTGTCAAACCTTTCTTCTTTCATTCAAATTAGCTCATCATTAATTACCCATTTTAACTTTAAACATTTTATTCTGATGTGTAAATTTGGCGTGGAAGGACTAAATTCGAACTAGAATAAAATAAATTTGACGAAACTTGTAAAATAGAAATATTATACATTAGTGATTCCAATATATTTTTACAATCAGGTTTTTGAGAAGCATAGCTAGAAGTAATAATTTTTTCAGCGTACATTGATTATGAGCTAGTCTTTTCTCTTTATTTATAGAAGGAAACTCACTCAAATAGATAAAAGATAATTCAAATTGTACAGTTCAATGGAACCCTAAAAAGGATTTACAGAGCGAAGGAATAGACCAATGAATTGGTCGACCTATTTTTTCCTTTAAGACTTCTCCCTCATATACTTAACAATAATAAAATCAACCCTTTAATTTTTTTTTCTTTTTAAGAAAGAAACCACTTCATTCCAGACTCAAGAAGAAGTATGCGAGAGACATACATACAAAAGAAGAGGTTATATAAAAACATTCCAGTTAAGTGAAATAGTACTTGGAAATGTCATAATTCAAAAGAAGCTAGAGGCTATATAAAAGTACTTCAGTTAAGCGAAATGGTACGTGAAAATGTCATAATTACAAATTACAAAAAAGATGTGATTTAGAGAACTAGGTTGAGGCCAAAACTTTAATATCTCCCCGAAGGCGAGCACGAGGATGGGAGTTGTCCGAGAAATGTTGGTTATTTCTCTCCGGCCGACATTATAGAGATGGGTTAAAATCAACGCTTTAATCTATCCTTTCAATGGGATGCACAAAATCAAAAGGCATTGCCTCTTCCCCCTTTTATTAATTTTTATTTTAAAAGATTTCTTTACTCCCAACCAATCACATGACAATAGCAGCAAATACATATAAAACCAATTAGTGACAGAGGGGAAACCCTAAGAGAGACTCAAGATTAAAAAAATGAGAAGCATGAGGACAAAAGTAGAAGCATGGCTTTGATGGCAAATTTCTGTCCTTTTACATTAAATATTTTTAATATTAACCATCTTTATCTCATATTGATTCATGAGGCTTCTTTTTCATCATCATCATCTTCTTCTTTTTTCCTCGAGTCCCTGACTATATAAACACACCCAAAACATTAAAATATACATATACATTAGTTAATTATCAAAATAAATGAATAGAGAATTAAGAAAAGGAATAATTGTGGCATGCATGGCTGACAAGAATGTGACAATATTTTTTACTATTTTGAAATTTAGGGGTTTTGTTTGTAAAACCATGGGAATATTGAAAGGGCAGAGCTGAGATAGCTTCCAAATGTGTTTGTCTGCCAAAGTAGATTTACCAATGCATATTATAAAAAGAAAATATATATTTTGGGGGTGTGTTTTATTTGAAATTCCAAATGTTATCATCATTGGCAAACTTGTTTTGATGTTCTCTAGGATTGCGTTTTTGTTGTGTCTCTATTTTCTAGCTCCATCTAACTCTAATGCAAACAAGGAGAGGGACAGCCGATATCTTGATGTGGTGAGAGGGCAAAGACCACCTAGATTTTCTCGAATGGAATTTCAAGTCAGAAAATTAGATAAGAGTATGTTTGCATGCATTGAATCCAGCCTTTGCCCATTTAATTATCTCCCTCAATGAATCTACTGCCTCATTATAATTCTTTATATATCCTCACATCATGGAAGAGACTAGAGATCACAGAGAGAGAGAGAGTCTGATATTTTTGGGAGTTCCCAAAATTAATTGAAATGGATAGATATATATGATGGATTCAGAGAAAGACCTAAAATGGCTATACTGAAATCAATGTTCAATGGTTACCATCATTATTATATATCTGCTGCATTTAGCAGTGGGTTGATAAAATGTGCAACAAATGAGTTGCACATCAGTTAGGAAAGAGAGTGATTCATGGTATATAGACAAGAATAATTGTCTCTATTGGTATGAGACTTTTTGGGTGAAACCAAAATCAAAGCTGCGAGAGTTTGAGAGTACCGTTGTCCTTAATATTTAGCTACATTCTTTGGAATATTTTGCTGGAGGGAAACAACTGCATTTTCATGGAAGCTGTTGATCTCCAGACCAATAGCTCATATAGTCTTCTGTTAGGGATAACGGACCCTCTACATTTCCAAAATTGATATGATATTTTTTGCTTTGAGTAGAACTTCCACGACTTTACTTTTGGTGGGTCTCATACTAATATACTTATATACTTATTTTTCTTCCTATTTAGCCCAGGTGAGATTTTGGCCGATTTTCAACCCTTTCTCAAATACATTCTCACATACATATTATTATCAAATGCTCTGGGCTAGAGCATTTCATTTCATTTCTTTGCAATCATTTTTATTCATTATTGTTTCAATGAAACAGTCTTCAAATAAAAGGTGCAGCACGTTCGATTCCCCTAATTTTTTCTACTGGGTCAAGAATTTGTAATTTTAATTTTCTCAGTAGAAGGTATATATATATGCAATTATTGATGTAGCAGACAGAGCATGTGGAGATCAGAAAACTGCATTCAATAATATCATATCCTTTATAATATAATATTACATAGTGTTGCTTCTGATACTTTTTTCTTTCTACTTCGTTTTCCTTACTAGATTTTTTAGGATAAAAATAAACTTTGATTAATATAAAAAATAAACAAACAGCATCTTATGTTGTGGATTGATATATCTCAACTGGTTTTGTTTCTCACAATTTATTATTATTTTTTTGGGATAAAGACATCCAATTTCACTTGTGATCGAACCGTGCATATTGTTCCATGTTTGTTCATCGACATCATTAATGTTGTCTTATTATAAAATTTAAGTCTATAGTTTGTTGAAACCAACTCAAGACTCAGTATATCTGCTTTACCCAAAGGGTTAAAGGTTAGAAACCGGCGTATAAAACCAATTTCTAATTTTGTATTAGGGGGGATTTTGAAAGATTCACCTTGTAAACTTGTGCTGTGAAATAGAAAAGTTTTCTCCCTACAGTGGATGTAGG